TGGAGGCGAAAACACTTTTGGAAAGCGGTTTATATAAGAGTAGAGTTCGGGTTAGAGAGCGAGTCATGATTGCTATGTTGACAGACATGTCATGAAGGGATGGGCACTCACCTGCGGGTATTGTAACAGTTTCTGGCAGTTTAGGAGTGACTATTGGCGCCAAAGGCGTCGGAGATATGATGGGACTCTGCAGTAGAGACGTTGGATTGTGTGTAGGACTCGCTTCGACGGCAACTAATTTAGGCTTTTTTGGTGGCGTCGCCCCAATGGTTACAGGTATGGTGTCGTCTTCGAGCGTCTCTTTACTGGCAGTGATTGTCAGTCCCTGAGCGGTGGCCGCCGGTGTGTAACTGATTTGAGGCACTTGTCCTGCGATTGTGTGCACTATTTTCACCGATTTTCTGCCATTTTCTGTCAGAATTTCGGTAAACTGTTCGACATATCGTTTAGTCGACTGTTTTGTTCCCAAACAGAAACTGAGGAATAATTATAAAATAAATTAAAAACTCCTTTTTTGTTGTTAAAAAGACTAGTATTTATGGCTTACGTAGAGGTGGATCCCCTGAGATGTCCCTGTCTATCAATGACCAGTTGTCCAAAATATGTGTCATCAATAGGTCGGTGAAGAATATTAACTGATGTCAGGGATCTTCTATTATCATCCATGAAATCCATCTTATATTCCTCGACCTTAATCTAAAATTAAGTTAAAAATTATTAAACATTTCTATCAATATTGTAAAGTAAGAGACAAACCAATGAATTGTCAGCAATGATGTGTGGTTTTGGTAACTCTTTGGCCACTTTGTCCACTCCTATACTCTTAACAGGAATTGGTTCGTAAATTGGTTCACTTGTATTGATATTAATCTGAAATACAATTTATAAGCATTTAATACATTGTAGCAAAACAATGAAATTCATATGAAACATTTGTACCGATTTATTGACTTTTGATTGAGAACTGCTTTTTGTATTCCTCTTCTTCAGGAACTCATGTAATCTAAACATCTTCGGCGCCGCCAACGACTCAAACTTCTTGACCCGATTGACGGTCGTCTGCGAGCACTTCTTGGACAGTCTTAAGGGTTTCAGAGATGAACACATTATTGAAAACAATCTGTTTTAAAGAATATATCAAATAAAATAATAGACTTCAAGAAAGCGCTGTCTCTGAACATCCGTTTCTTTCGCCACAACTTGTTGGACAGTATGGCCAC